CTTCTAATTCATTTCTCCTTTTCTTTTTCTTTCTCTCATTTTATCCGACTTTTGGTGTATTATTTGTGTAGGTCTTTCATATATATATAATTAACGGATGTATCATTTATTATTGATTAAGTATATGATGTCAACTGATTAATTCAGTATAATCTGATTGTAAATACTTATAATTAGAACATAATATGAATATTGTAGACTCAAAAAGTATATAGATATAGATATATTAGAAGGGGTTTTGTGAAAATTATAGTAATTTTCATAGTTGAAATCATTAGTCAGTGAAAGCTGTTGAGGAATCCCACAATGGGACGAAACGGCCATCCAGTGATTCAAGGTTTTCTATAATCCTTTAGCTTCAATTGACTCATGATCTCAACTATTAAGATATATGTATATATTCTAATATTATGTAACGTCCTATAATAATACTAGACAGTTTATATATTATATGATGAAAAGTTATTAGATTGGTTCAGTAATATGTTTATGAGAGATATTCTATTCGTTAAATGTATTTGTTATGATAGTATTGGATGAAGGCATTAAAAATGACCATTGAACATATTGTAATGAGAATATACGAATCAGCAATGCATATTAACTCATTTCATACTTAGTTATACTAACGTAAGAACTCATCCCTTAACCTTATTATTATTATTATTATTATTAAGTTAAATACAGAGACTTATATATATATCAGAAATAACCGGCTAAGTGTTCGCGCGCGAGACCGATAGGCCCTGGATTAGAAACTGACGAGGTGAGATCGTGTATGCGCACTGCTGAGGAGTCCCACAATAGGACGAAACAGCCGTTCAGTAATTTCAGGTTTCTATACTGGTCAAGCTTGAAATGGTATGATCTTAACTATTAAAATTACTAATAATATCCATAAAAACCCTTCTGATATAGAATGGTTTGTGTTGATTGTTTTGACAGTCCAATTAATTATTCATACAATTCATTCAGACTATAAATAGGAAAATATAAAATTTTGTAATAAACACCTTGCTATTTCAGCTACAAAGTCGTGTAAAAATTTACTTTCCAATTAACCGACTGTTTATCAAGTCTTTATAATGAGATCAGAAATCCATGATCTTATAATACTCGTTGAATATGATTTTTAAACGTTATTAAACACGATCATTCATAGATCATAGATCTTCAATACTTCATAGACCATCGTCAACTCCTGATGATGATCTCTAAGAAATATCACAACAATCGGAAGAATAATCAATATATAATCCAATTCTAACAGAATTTTGGACTTATTCGCATTATACATTGAAAACTGTTATATATGGACAGATAGATAGATAGATAGATAGATAGATAGATAGATAGATAGATAGATAGATAGATAGATAGATAGATAGATAGATAGATAGATAGATAGATAGATAGATAGATAGATAGATAGATAGATAGATAGATAGATAGATAGATAGATAGATAGATAGATAGATAGATAGATAGATAGATAGATAGATAGATAGATAGATAGATAGATAGATAGATAGATAGATAGATAGATAGATAGATAGATAGATAGATAGATAGATAGATAGATAGATAGATAGATAGATAGATAGATAGATAGATAGATAGATAGATAGATAGATAGATAGATAGATAGATAGATAGATAGATAGATAGATAGATAGATAGATAGATAGATAGATAGATAGATAGATAGATAGATAGATAGATAGATAGATAGATAGATAGATAGATAGATAGATAGATAGATAGATAGATAGATAGATAGATAGATAGATAGATAGATAGATAGATAGATAGATAGATAGATAGATAGATAGATAGATAGATAGATAGATAGATAGATAGATAGATAGATAGATAGATAGATAGATAGATAGATAGATAGATAGATAGATAGATAGATAGATAGATAGATAGATAGATAGATAGATAGATAGATAGATAGATAGATAGATAGATAGATAGATAGATAGATAGATAGATAGATAGATAGATAGATAGATAGATAGATAGATAGGATAGATAGATAGATAGATAGATAGATAGATAGATAGATAGATAGATAGATAGATAGATAGATAGATAGATAGATAGATAGATAGGTAAGTAGATAGATATGACAGCACTGATTTATCAAATCCATGAATCGGAATACATTCTTTGCAATCATTAACAATCCAATAAAATATATGAGTGGTTATTCGGTCAGTTAAATTTTATTTGTTTTAGCTTTGAATGAGATTCAGAACAAATCATCGTTTTGTATCATTTAGATTCGAAAAATAACTATCTACTTTGAATAAGTCTCTGATATTTTTATAACGTTTGGTTTTCCAAGTCTACACGAATGGGACGTTAATTTACTTTAGACGAATATCTACACTAGATTCCCTCACAGTGTTTATTCTACAAGACTTCAATACAACCCAGATCAAGAACATGTGATTAGCTTGACTAGAACGTAAATATATTTCCACACCAAAAAACCCGATACAATCCAACAACAATGAACAATCAATATAAGGAAAGGTGAATATATAACTCATCTGACACATGTCAGACTATTTGGATGTTAGACTAAGCACAAAACCAGTCAGATTTAAAAATCGTTTTCGCAATAAATGTAATAAGTTCGAGAAACGTTAATCAAGCCATTGCTCCGGGACGGCCGAGAATGGGGAGAATCAGCTCTCCCTCTTTAAATGCTCTCACATGGCTACGTGAATACAACCACTGTTGTTTACGAAATTGAGGGGAGGATATGCTAATGTCCGACGCTTTAACCGGTTTGGTAGACACGGAGGGTCCACCTAGGGTAGTTTGAAAATCCTGATTCCAAACCAATGATGCAAATGAGCTCCAGAATCCTGAGGCAACAAATGATATATGAACCAACGATTGGCTACCGGTTGCCATGGGACTGCATCTCCTAATGTTGATCTACTGCTTTGTGGGTCAAACCTTTAGATCGAAGGCTGTGGGTGTGGTCGGCTAAAAAGACCACCATTTTCGATTCGGGTATGCCGGCAGTATCACAGCCCGCACACAAATCAGGTGACTTGTGTGGTGCATACCTATTCGGTGCCCATTTTTACCAATATTTATGTTAAAATGAAATAAATAAACTAGTCTGATCATTGATAAGCTTGATGACTGTGTGTGTGTGCGCTTTTCATTATTGTTAGGAATCTATATTTTAGGATGAATGATAAAAGCGATAAAACTATTTTCACTGACGTTTCGCTACTTAATTCTGATAGCTTTGCAAGTTTTAGGCATGTTCTTGTTCTAAACTTATATGAACAGTGAACAGTAAATGACAGTGAGTAATACACTCTTTTGTGGTAAAACTTTCGGGGTTATTATTAAAATGATCAGGGATAAACATTTGAAATCTTCCAAACAACTGATAACTGTTATTTTATCAGTCACGAATGATCCACTAAATCTAAATCTTCTTTCCTGTATAGTGTATCTTATATCGGAGCAAGATTCGGGTATGCATGGGAACAGATGGCTGTCATAAACAAAATGAACTCCACTTGAGTAACGAAGTTAGTCACTATGGTTAAGAATTTTATACTCTAATTAAAGTTTCATTTCCTTTTATTTACGCATATTTAATCACTAAACGTATACACATAAACTTTGAGAAAAATTAAGTAGAACTTGTAGAAATGGTAATGATGGATTGGGGTTAGCAATGGAATCCAGAATGCGCGTTTCGTCCTATTTAAGACTCATCAATTGTAAAGAACATCAGTCCTATGATACAAGCACAATCAGCTGACGAATCCTAAATAGGACGAAATACCCATCCTGTATTCCACTGCTAGCCACTTTCTATCATCGCTCTATAAAGCTTATAACTTAAAACAATATCTGGGCAATCTGCACAGGATGCACATATGTCAACAAAAGACTAATTAATTACAGTGCTTAACAGCAATGAGAAGATACAAGTGAAAAAATGCCAATTGAATTTGTTAAAATAATGTATAAAATATATTTCATATTGTACTAAACATGTAATATTGAATGATGCTGTGAAGTGTGCTACTGATGTCAATAGATATAAGTAGTATGTATCATCAATCGAAAGTGAATTGCCTGAAGGCAAAAGGTTATGAAGATCAAAGAAAAGAGAACAAGAACAAAGAATGATTGATATGAAAATGAAGGAGCAATGAAGTTTGAGACAATTGATTGACATTGTAGTGGCTGTGCTTCATTGACCAATCACCCCCATAATCGTTATCATATAATCCTCAACGGTGTTTGAAATCAGAAGACCAAGAGAAGCAGCGACTACAGTTTTATTAGCAGATAATTCAGACCACAAAGCAATGAGGCGAATGAGTGAGTCAGCGAACTGAGAGTGTAGAGTGTTAAATGTAGATGTATATATATAGGGAAATGAATGGATCATCGAATCAACCAGGCAGTTAATAATAAAGCTAGCAGAATGAATGTATGCGTAGACGGTAAGCAATGTTCAACCATACATATATCATACAAGCACAACAATAATAAAGGTACAATAAGTTGTTATAGTACGGATGACTTTGTCCGCTAAATAAATTGACAAAAGGGCTTAACTAAGTTAAATGAGAACAAACTCAATTGGACGTGAGTTGCCATAACATTATACGAATGAAATATTTCTTGCATAGTTCTCAGACGTTACTAAGTAATTCTGTCATGTTGTATTCGATTACATCAGATTGCCCCCAATTATATGTACTCATTCACTAAAATACCATTACTGGACGACCGTTTCGTCCTAGTATGGGACTCCTCAGCAGTGCACATTCACGATCCCGCCCCACGCATTACTGAGGACTCCCATACTAGGACAAAACTGCCGTCCAGTGCTTCCAGGTTTTCCATGGTGGTCTAGCTTCAATTAGCTCATGATTTCAACTTGTGAAATTTCATAAATAAAAAGAATCATTATCAAATTAATTAAAATAAAGTGAACTTACCTCCAAGCTAAACGAAAGCTTAATAAATCTAAATAATGTAAATTTAACATGATTTCACGATCATTTATTGATAAATTCATAAATCCTGGAACTAATTCAGCATAATGTTTTAATTCTTGCATGGATTCTTCTAGAATTGAACAAAATTTACTTGTATAATGTTCATCAATCTATTGAGAATTGAATAAATAGAAGATAAATATAAAGAATAAAAATGAATTAGTTCAACAAATTTCTTTTATAAAAGAGAAATACAGGGGAAAAATAAAGTCGATCATTGCATAGATACATACAGAAGTATACTGTGGAGATCCGTTTTATTTAATCGTCATTTAGATCGAATGATGTTGTTGTTGAAAAGACTCTTCAAATTAGTGGCCCGTGGATTTGACTCCAAGGAGATTGTAATGATGATTGTCGTTGAAATATATATATATATGTCACCTATCCTCGAATATAATCATCAACTTTAATCGTATTAGTCAATAACAATATAGAAATATTAGAACAAAGTACTTAAACAAGTTTCCTTTACATAACAAAAATGCAGAAAAAAGTCGATAATTGTATAGATATATACATAAGTATTTTTTTTACGCCTGTTACTCCCAATGGAGCATAGGCCGCTGACCAGCATTCTCCAACCCACTCTGTCCTGGGCCTTCTTTTCTAGTTCCATCCAATTCTTGTTCATTCTTCTCATGTATGTTTCCATTCCCCGGCGTGATGTGTTCTTTGGTCTTCCTCTTCTCCTTTGGCCTTCAGGATTCCATATAAGGGCTTGTCTTGTGACGCAGTTGGGTGCTTTCTTCAATGTGTGTGCTATCCACTTCCAGCGCTTCTTCCTGACTTCTTCCTCCACTGGGATCTGGTTTGTTCTCTCCCATAGTAGGTTGTTGCTAATAGTGTTCGGCCAATGGATCCGAAGTATTTTGCGTAGACAACTGTTAATAAACACCTGTATCTTCTGGATGATGACTTTTGTAGTTCTCCAGGTTTCTGCCCCATACAGTAGAACTCTCTTGACATTTGTATTGAAAATCCTGACCTTGGTGTTGGTTGACAGTTGCTTTGAGTTCCAGATGTTCTTCAGTTGTAAATATGCTGCACTTGCTTTGCCGATCCGCACCTTCACATCTGCATCAGATCCACCCTGTTCATCAGTGATGCTGCCCAAATACGTAAAGGTTTTTACATCTTCCAAATCTTCTCCGTCAATTGTGATTGGATTGGTGCATGCTGTGTTGTATCGGAGAATCTTGCTTTTCCCTTTGTGTATATTGAGACCTACTGCTGCTGCTGAGACTGCTGCTTCACTGATCATCTTCTCCTGCATTTGTTCTCGCGTTTGGGATAGAAGGGCCAGATCAACTGCGAAATCCAGATCGTCCAACTGCATCCTAGATGTCCATTGTATCCCGTGCTTCCCTTCAGACGTTGACGTCTTCATGATCCAGTTGATCACCAGGAGAAAGAGAAAGGGTGAGAGTAAGCAACCTTGCCTAACACCGGTCTTTACTTCGAACGACTTTGTCAACTGTCCTCCATGCACGATTTCGCAGTGTAATCCATCATATGAGTTCTGTATGATATTGACTATCTTCTGAGGCACGCCGTAGTGTCGAAGAAGTTTCCATAGTGTTGATACATAAGTATACCACTGGATAACAACCTAATGGTTCTAAAGCTTAACAATATGTTATGAAATATGAAGATTCTGGGAGTTTTGTGAGTGTCCACTGTTGATTAGTTTCATAATATGTTGAACCAACTCGACCTTAGTACCTAATTTGGTAAATACGATCAATCAGTGATGATTACCACCATCAGAACAAAATACTGAAGATGAAATCATTCTATATGATTGGTGGTTTGATTCAATACTATATATCTATGGTACAATATAGAATTCTCATCATCAAGTATTTCAACAAGTGTGTTTTATAAAGAGAGAAACAAAATGGAAGGAACTGATACCTGCATGCATACATACACACATACATACATACATATCACAGTTAAGTAAATAAACTACATGGAATTAAATGAAACGTCTTCTATGAAGATTCGGAACCTGTACAAATCTTTTAAACAGAAAACGAGTTGTTGACTAGATCAGCTCTAATAATCTGTTCATCACAGTGTACATTTGTTAGATAAAGTATTATAGAACTTCTATACTTTTGCTTGAATGTATGGATTTTAATGTATTGACGACTCGTTCTACCAGAAGATATACAATTAGATAGATATATGAATGAATGGGTGGTTAGTATCTGATAAGATAACACCTACCAGGAGTTTGTAAGAGTTTACATAACTAACCACAACCATATTAATAATGACCTAAAAAGATTCATCAAACAGTTTGTTAAATGCCTTCACCACTCTTTGCAATACAGTAAAGTTTTTTCTCAAAGACCCAGTGTTATAACGGGTGGACTGCAGGTTTTTGATAAGCAGCGTTTATATCAATCGATTCAGCGACACGGTTAACACGTAAGGACGACCTAGTGCCCTGATGGGAATAATAGATAATATGCAAGAATTGATAAATTGTAAGAGTAAATGACCAGTAATCCCAAGAGCATACAATCTCTTTATGTAGCAAGTCAGACGGGGAACATTCTTCGATAACAATAAAACGTGGGAAGACCAATAAAGAGATCAAAGGAAAATGCAATAGCATGATTAATGACCTTTGACATACTTTTTATTACAGAATCTCGAATAGTTCAAAACTTCATGAAATTCCAACAGGGTGTTTATATGTTGTTTATATTTCAAGCTAAATTTATCATTATGACATTAAGGAAGATTAAGTGTTAGACCATTAACAACAGATTATCGTTGAATAAGAGACAAGAACTTATTTTATTTTACGAGAGAAATGAAATTTTCAATTCACAATTAGGATTACAGTCAGTCAGCTACAACGTAGGACCAGGCACATATATTCATCGGTCCAAGTTGCTACACCTCATTAACACAACGAGATGAACATCAAGTTCATAGAAGCCGTCACTTCAGTGGTAGTATTATATAAAAGAAAGATTGGGTATGATAATATAATACAAGAAGAAAGAATCAGTTTGTAGAAAGAAAGATATAAAGCAATTTTAACCTCATAGTTTAAGGGAAGATAAAGAGTGTATACAATTACGCCGTTGTGATCAATTCTGAGCCATGTCACACAGAGTCCCCAACCGTTGGTTACATGCACCCCAACCAAGTTGTCTGCATCTACCAATATGTCTCAGACTAGAAGTTAGTGACTTCAGACACTGATGCCGCGTTTTGGTTTGACCACCCCTAAATTTCCTTCAACCACCCCCTACACTATTCAGCATTGTGCGTCTTGGTAATCGGTGTTCAGGCATACATGACACGCCAACCAAACATCTCAGTCGATGAACATTCACAATCTCATCAACTGATTTATCATCATCATTCTTTTATACTCTACGTCGAACCGCACTATTACTTAACCGTTGATCCCAACAAATGCGAGCATTATTTCCAAGTCATCTGTGATTAAATACTAGCAGCTTAAGAATATCTTCGACTCATAATAGCCACGTTCCGCAGCTGTGAAGTAGAACAGAACGAACTGCTACACAGTATACTCGTCCCTTAATTATAAGACAGATATCTCGCCTTCGCCATAGGTGGTGACGTAAGTTGGCAAAAGTCAAACGAGCTTTTCGAATCCGTGCTGAGATTTCGTCGGACAATAACCCATTATGGCTGTTCAGACTTCTGAGATAAGTGAAGTTGTCGACGCGTTCGACTACTTCACTCCTTATCCTTAGTTCAAGTGTTGACGCAAGCCAGTCCTAAAGCAACAACTTGCATTTAGAGTAGGAGAAACGCATCCCAAACATTCTGGCATTGTTCCTCAATACTATCAAATGACTGCATTTTATTGGCGTCTTCACCAAGACAGGTATATATCATCTGCATGTTATATGAGACTAACAAATCATCATTCATTTGAATATATGGGCTACCGGTTTCCTGTCCCTTCCATCTAGATATTTCAACAAGTTATCTGGTTTTGTTTGTTTCAATCATTCAACTGAACCACCATTACATCGTTCGCTTTATGTTTCACTAATTTTTTAACTTGAATAACTAGTAAAATGATATGAATATCTTTCTTCATGAATGATTGTTGTATCATTTCAAACTTGATAAACTCTAAGAAGATGTCAGATCATGTCATTGAAACATATTCATCAATTGTTGAATATGCGTTTAAGTTGACTTCTACCAGAAGTTTGTGCTGATGATATCGTTCAGAAGAACGATGAAAACTCCATGACCAAACTATCCAGCTCAAAGAACAAAACTCCATCAAAAATTGTTAATTAATTCATGATAGAATGATGAAGATTATCACAAGAAGTAAAATTCTTATCAACATGATATTATTAGGCAGTTTAGTGTTTAGTAGGACATATAAAAATTAATCTACTGAATATCAGTAAACTAAACGTTTCTCAGTGATCAGTATTAGAATGTAACGATAAGAGGCTAAGTGTTCTCACGCGAGAATGATAAGTTCTGGTTTCAAATCCCGTGGGGTGGGTTGTGGATATGCGCCTCTGAGGAGTCTCATAAAAGGACAAAACGGCCATCCATTACTTCCAGGTTTTCCATGGTGGTAAGTTAGTAAATGATTCATGAATAACTAAAATAATGATTTATGTATAATAATAAAATGAATTCATTTCCTTCTATTTGATTAGCATGATGACCTACCCATCAATTGTATTATTTCAGTATTAAGTTACAAATCCCTTTTCTTAATTAATATGCCTAATCAGTATTTTAAAATGGTAACTATTGGTCAGGAAACGACAAATTATACCTAATTTATAAGTGCTAAGAACGTGCTACTCCCCTATCTTTATATTAATTAACCGTAAGTGACTAAATCTTTTTTTCAGTAAGGAGATTTGTAAAGATCTTAGTGTTTTTAACAATTGAATATAAGCTAGACTGCAGGTTTTTGGTTCGAGTTCCAAAGGCGGGATCGTGAATGCACATTACTGAGGGGTTCCACTTTAGGATGAAGAAGGTATCCAGTGCTTTCAGGTCTTTAATGGTGGTATCACCTACTTACGTCCGCCTGTTACTCCCAATAGAGCATGGGCCACCGACCAGC